AAAAAAAAAAAAAAAAAAAAAAAAAAAAAAAAAAAAAAAAAAAAAAAAAAAAAAACACCACTAGAAAAAGGCTCTGACGTTGTCAATACATCCAGAAACTACTAAAGAAGAATAAACCTGAGTGTGAGTGTGTCTGGAAAGATGTAGCACCAGAAAGTGGATGATCCATACAAGAAAGTGAGTACAGTAGCAGTAGTTATAATCAGGGTAAGGAAAAAAGTTGCAAATTCAGGAACTTCCTTGTTTATTTTTGTCTGCTTCAGGTAGTGGCACATTACAGCAAGGATATGCAGACCGTTGTTCTGATACCAACTCTTCTTACTGTGAAATAAAGTCAGCTCTAATACATTTTAGTTTCTGTTTTGAGAATAAATAAATTGAAAGGAGAATATTTCCGCAGTTATTGGAATGAACATTAATCGAAGGATTTTATTTAATAATTTAAATAATAATTCACAACATGGTCTGGTTTAACTATTTTTATTTATTGTATTAATCATTTTATATAAAACCAGAATGGTTAGAAACTAAAGACAATTTGTGAACACAGTATAGGATACTTAAAATGTCTTTTCTTTTTCTGTTTATGCCAAAGAATCAAATATTTATTTTCATTTTAGTGCAATCTGGTTTTAAGCATACTGTAATTCTTATTAGTTTAATTCTGTATTATTAGCACAATCTCTCATTATGTTTTCTGGTTTTGGTATATAGTACATAAAACTTGTCTTGAGACGCGTTGACAAATATTAGTATTGGCTCATTTTCACTCTGTTTAAACACGAAACTTGAATAACCCCATAGAAACCACAGCCTGGTTCATGCTCTACGGCAAAACATACTTTACCCTCATTTGCACTGTAGAGGGAAGAAGGTTTAGAATGATGCCGTCTCTAGCATGCAAATCGTATGCAAGTCGTGACGGATGTTGCAATCACAACCGTGGGATTGTACCTGCCGGGTACCGACGCCAAAAATTTTCTACAAACCACTGAGAGAAAATTTCCAAAAAAAAGATTCGGCCAAGGAATGAGTGAGGCAGTGGGTATAGCTGTAGCAGTGGAAGTTTCAAGGGGGTCTGGGGCGAGACCCCCCGACCCCAAACGGTCGGACACAGATGTGCTGCCCTGGTAACGGGGCAGGTGCCGCTCACCGACCCGCCAGTGCTCCAGCAGCAATGCATAGACACCTTCTGTCCGAGCCCACTGCCCCCCTGGGGTGCTGCCCGCCTGCAGAGCCCACTTTCCCCGAGAAGCCTCTTCCCCCCGTGCCCTCTGTCTCCTCCGACCCCACAGCCAGCCCCCTTTTGCTGAGACCTCCTAAATTAACCATCAGCAGCAGCAGGAATAATGATGATAACAACAACCAGAGGCGGCCTGGGAGGACGATGCCTGATGCGTGGAGAGACTTTCCCATCCCATCTCCCAAAGCACTCGAGGTAAATAAGTGGGAAATACCGGGGGAAAAGCGAGGAGGGAACCACGTCGCCGACCGATGCGGAGCAGCATTAGTGACCGCTCCCCTCGCTCCAACACCAACCTCGTCCCCCGCTCCTCCGCCACCTCTTCCCACCAGTCCGAGTGGGGCTGGAGAAGCCTCTATCGGGCTCCCTTCGAGTGACGGCGCCCAGTGGGCGGCTGCGGAGCGCAGGTAGGAGGGAACGGGGTGAGTACGGAACAGGGGTGTCTCCGGGAAGGGACGTGGGGGAAGCTCCGTGCAGTCCGGCCTTGCCGTTCCACCCCAAGGATGGAGAAGCGTGTCCGGCGTTGAGGGTGAGGCAGTGCGCCATCCTCTCTCCGACCTTCATCTCTCGGCCTCTTGTAATAACGAGGGAGGTTATAATTTGGTGTCCGGGCCGAGTGGAAAGAGAGGGACTAGCCAGGAAGGCGTCCCTTTAGGGAGAGGGGAATCCTCCGCCACACTCTTTTATCCTTAACACCCTCATGCTCCCTACTTTCTTGCTGTCAGTGATCAGTCTTATTCACTTGAGAGGAAGCTATTGGATTTCAAACGTGATCAGCTGACGTTGGTTTGCCCATGGGCTCACTAAACACATACACACACGCACGGGTACCCGCACTGCATGCCTGCACCCTGAGCATCGCGCTGCACAGGCACAGGGGTTAGGGAGCAGGGACAGGCCTGGCGAATGCCCCTAGGGATGAAATCAAAATCAGTGGGATGGGAACGAGGTGATGAGGCGCATTCCTGGGATTGTGTGGGGTGCGATGGTCTGTGTTGGAGAGGGTATAGGTCATAGCCTGTGCGAGAGGACAAGGTACAGGTCTGTATTCTCCCGCACAGCGTCCTTTCGGGGATGTGAAAGAAGTGGGAACTGAAATCTTGTAAGGGTAGGGGGAAATGGCTTGACTACCCTATACAAACAGGGCCCGCTATACAAACGCGCTCCCCGGTCAGCCCTCCCCAGGTCTCGCAGCATGGCGGCTGAACGATGGGCATCCTTAGTTCCTTTTCTTGATTCCCTTGTGATTATCGAAAAGATGGAGAAGACGGGAGTGGGAGTGGGCTGTCAGGGCAAGGGGCTCTACGTGTTTGCCCTGCTCGACCCGCCGGGGAGGTGGCCCCGGAATCCCTCCCCTCGAAACCGAGGCCAGGGGTTTGCGCTGGTAGAGTTCTGAAACTTTTGTCAACAAGCATCAAAACGGCGACGTTTTAATGAGGGTGCTGCGGTCCCGGCTCGGGGAGTGGGTGCTCCGGCAGCGTGGGAACCGGCACCAGTGGCGCCGTCCATCTGTCCTCTGTCCGTCTGCAGGGAGCGGTGCAGCGGGGAGATGCGATACCGACAGCCGGGGAGTGAGACGCGGACGGTGACATGACATCCAGGGCAAGGATGAGTGTCAAAATAGTCCTCAGCCGTTTCGGGTGTTACTGGGACAGAAAGACAACATCCTAACCAGACGGACAGGTGGACAAAGGTCACCACCGCATCTCCTCCCCTAGAACCTCCTCAGCCCGCAGGGATTCTGTCGTTGCTTTTAATCCTTATTTTTCCACCTCCCCGAGCAAAACCGGCTCTCAGATAATCTACTCGGTCCTTGGGCTGAGATACCTTTGCTCAGAAGGGCACCTCGAAATTGTTATCTTGGTGAGCGGAGGACTAGTTTATGCTCAGGTTTTACTGCCTAGGAGATGAAACCGAGTGTCTGTGTGTTTGCCTCTGTACGCATCGGTGGGACACATCGGTACCAGCAGTACAAACAGCTAAAACACGCTAGAGGCAGGCACGTCACGCGTGCTTTTGTAATAGCATATAGGCTTCACCCCGCTTTTAAATCTAAATATTTGATGGCCGTGCGCCCACAGCCTTTTCTCACATAAAAATAAAATTCACCTTTTTATATTTTTTTTTTTTGTCGGAGAAGAAGAAATAATCTCCTGAAGGCGCAGAAGAAACGTCCTCTGAGACACAGCGTAACAGAAGTTATTCTACCTGCTCTTAGTCTGTTGAGATACCAGACAACGAAAAATTCCTAGAAGGAGATCAGAATTTATTATCGAATCACACCAACTTGGAGGAAGCTCGGCTAATGAACTAACAAAACAAAACAAAACAAACAAAACAAAACAAACAAACAAAACAAAAAAAAAAAAGGGGGGGGGGTGAGGGGAAGAAGGAGTGGTTAATCCAACCAAACGTAACCTCCAACTTCTAGGGAGTGCGTCTTCCTCCTGAGAGCCTACCGCGACTGGAACTCTTCACGGCCATTCCCACACGTAACTACATTTCCGTAACATCAAACCTTTCAGTTTCATTACTTTTATTAAAAGACGAAGGGAGAATCGCAGGAAGGTAAAAGCCTCATGTAACTAGCGACCAAGTGCTTCCAAGAAAAAGATCTTTCCAGATAGCACTGGTACAAATTCAGTAAATAACGAGGGGCCATTCTGTAGGGAGAAATATCGAAATATTACCGTTCCGTGGGATAATGGAGCCTTCCCTCCCCGCCCCTGAATTTCGAAAGCCCGGGTTCTCTTCGAACAGGCACCCACAGACCAAGACCGTATTTTGATCTCAGCAATTAACATGCGAAGCAAGTGGGGGAATGAGGGAGGCGACAATTACACACATACCCCGCCCCAGTGCGGACGAGGGTGAGGAGTTCAGACGAGGTGGAGGGCCCAGGGTGCTGCATATCACCCCAGGAATGGTCTACCAGCAGAACATCCTCATTCCTGCTAGATCTCTCATCTCTTTCTCTTTTTATTATTATTATTGTTGTTATTATTGTTGTTGTTATTATTATTATTATTGTTATTATGGGTTTTGGTTGGTTGGTTGGGTTTTTTTGTTGTTGTTGTTGTTTTGTTTTTTGTTTTTGTTTTTTGTGGTTTGTTTTTTTTTTTTTTTCAGTGAAGCACAGCCCAGATGCGAAGGCGAGGCGTAGCACTGGGAGGAGCCGGGAGACAAGGGGGGACTGCACTCGGTACGGGTCCTGCCCGCGGACCCCGGCAGGTGCCGCTGTTCCCCCGCCGCCGGCACCGGGGCCGCGCATGGCGGGGCAGATTCCGGAGCCCGCCGGGGCATCTGGGCCGGACACCGAGCGGCATCGGGTGGGGAGAGGCCCCACGGAGGAGCTGGGTGTCGCTCCCACCTCCTTCCCGCTTTTTTTCCCTGCTCAGAAACGGGGTGGGTTCTACCGAGGAGTTGCAAACGGGACGAGGAGGGGTGGTGACAAAAAATTAGCTCCGCATCCGCAGAGTGAATTTAAAATCAAAATAAATCAGTGAAACAAGTAAAGAAAAAATAACACCAAAAAAAAGAAAAAAAAAAAAAAAAAGAAAAAAAAAAAAAAAAAAAAAAAAAAAAAAAAAAAAAAAAAAAAAAAAAAAAAAAAAAAAAAAAAAAAAAAAAAAGGGAAAGAAGAGGGAAAAAAAAAAAAGCAAATTCACTCCTTTCCGGGAGACCATATTTAAACGGCGTCTTTATGATAAGTTATTTTTTGCCTAGAGATAAGCTGGTTACGACAATAAAAGCAGAAGGAACGTGGTGAAAACGAGGCTCATCCTCCTTCAGCCTGTGCTGAAAGCCAAAACCTCGCTGTGTGAAGAGATTCGACTACTCTGTCCACTCACCTCGGGCTGGAGCTCAAGTTGGCTTTCTACATGCTCGCCAAAACACGACAAACTCTGACGAAGAGTTTGCTGTACTTCAGTCTCTGGAAACCTCAACAGTTACCGATTATTTGAAGTATGGATGAAAGTATCTCAGTTTTCACCCCCTTTTCTCCTGCCACTTTTCTCGATTCCTGCCTCTGTACCTCTAATAAGGAGAGATGTACTTAAACAAAAAAAAAAAAAAAAAAAGGCATTGGCTTATTGTTATTATTATTATTACTATTATTTCCAAAGGAGATGCATCATGAGGGTGTATTTGCACTGGAAGCTTTTAGGTAAGGAATTAGATTGTGTTTGTGTGTGTGTCTGTGTATGTGTGTAAAGAGAAAACTCTAAATTTATTTTTTTTCCTTCCTGAAAAATAAATTAAATATTTTTCTCCGCCAAATTTCAGTTACTTCACCTAATATTATCTGTTCTTGGTTCTACCTGTTTTCATTTCGATTTTAAGTCTTGTGGAGGAAAAAAAAAAAAAAGGCAAGTAATTAAAAGAAAATACTTTAAAAAGATCTTCCACTATATCCACAGTACCTGCACCTTCACTTTTCTAAAAAATAATGTTCACATGTACAGACATATGCAGTAGGGATTATTTACATATATGATAAGAAGACAAGGATGAAGAGACAAGGCAGAAAATTTAAGTGTAACTTGATGAATACTGAGTTCAGAGGACCATAGTTATTAAAAGCATTGATGGGGGGAAAAAATAAAAAAAATAAAATTAAAAAAAATGGCAGGGAAAAATAATGAGAAGATGTGGAAATGGATTTATTTCACGCATTCATTTATGTTCAGTTTGATGCCCTATCTCATCTTTGTGGCTGCAGCGGTCACCCCAAATCTGTCCCTCATTAGTGCTGTTATGTATTCATTTGTTTGTCTATCCTTGGACGAAAATCCAAGAAATCGCCGACTTCTATGGCGTTTCGATCACCTGGGATGTTCTGTGCAGATCCGTATTTTTAGCAGCAAAAGGCCGATATTAGGTAACACATGGGGGGGGGGGGGGGGCTGACAGGGGATAATGGAGGCGGTATTTATTGTTCCTGTTCCCCCCGTCATGTTCAAGTGGCAAGTGTCTGGAAGGGGGTGGGGGACACGCAGCACTACCCACGCTGCTCGTGGCACAGGCAGCCGTGCAGACAGGCCGGGGGAGGAGCGCGCTGCCAACCCCTCCACCCCCGGGGCTTGTTCAAAAGCCGCCGCTGTGATTCGCGGGGCCGCCGCGCAGTAACGCGGGGCAAGGAGGGGAGCCGGGGTAGGGGGGGATGCTGCGAGGCGAACCCCCGGCAGCCCGGCCTGCGGGGTGCTCCGGGGGTGCAAGCAGTGGCCACCTCTGTCCCGTCGTGGTTGTGGCGAGGCCCGGGGTAAGGCATCGGGAAGGGGGCGGGGAGGGAGGGAATGATGCTGGATGCGCTGCGGGGACAGAAAGATGGACGGACCCGCTCTTACCTCCTCCCTTCTCCCCACACACGCTAATGCGGGTCCGCAAGGGAGCGACAACTGCACGAGCGCTAATTAAAAGGGACAGGAAACGGGGATGGTCGGGTTGCGTCCGCGGGCCGGGAATCCCCGGCACGCACTGTTGATAAAAATGTGTAGAAATAGTACTTTCCTAATGATGTGGTAGATGTGGTGAGAGCTAACCTAAGGGATGACCATACCGATTTCCGTTTTGGGGTGGTATTATTTCTTTAAATGTATTACGTGTAGCCATCTGACCACTTTTTACTGGATAGCATATCCGAGTAGGGCTCATAAAACTGCAAGGGGAGGTAGCGCGGGGAACACCGTAAGAGACGACAAAGAATTAAAGTATACTTGTGGTGAACCAGGCACTGAGTAACACAGACACTCCACTCTTTATTAAAAAAAAAAAAAAAACAAAAACAAAAACAAAACCAAAAACATACATGCATACATGTCAGTCTTTTGAGAAGGCCAACTTTTGCCTGATACGTCCATGCAGGTAAGTCATTCATAGTGTAATAATCATCTCAATGCATGCACTTGAGCTTGCTTTTTTTTTTTTTTTTTTCCTTAGGAGAATAAGGTTCTTGTTTAAAAGCATAACATTCCTGGACTACAAAAACAGAGTAATCTTCTGGGTTTAATCATATTTAAACTAGTCTTATTACTACTCTTCTTTCGTATTATTACCCGTTTAGGTAAATATGCTAATAATGTTTTTCATATAATTCAAGGCCTGTGGATTTTCAAGTAAAGCAAGGGTAAGGCTACGAACATATTTTAAAATAACTTCTAAAATCTGCTTTTTCTAGAAAGTATTATGTAGTGGACTTAAAGCTGCACGTTAAAACGAGGTGTAATGTATTTAATAATGCAGCAATAAGACAGAAAGTACAAAATGTCTTCCTCGGAAAAAGCTGTCCATACCTGGCTCTGCACATTTTAGGAGAAGATTTTGAAATAAATGATTCCTGAAACCAAGGTAGATATAAGTGCATTTATGGGTCATAGGACAGCAATGAGATATTATAAGTCCATTTACACAGTCTCCCTTACACGCATTATCTGTATTTCTTTATATTCTTAAACGAAGCAGGAGCGGAGGTGTTGGTGGTTTTAAAATTTGTTTCCTAATATGAACTTAATTAGGCAAACTCCCAGTTTCAAGAGAGCTGTGTGATAGCTGAGCAGGGCAATAAGATCCTCCTCCCTTCTTAAGGCCCAATAAGCGTCTTATGCACCTTGATTTGTAGTATTAGCACTGTACATAATCTGTAACCTTATACAAACAGAAGCATGGAGGAAACTGGATATAAAGACACACTACAGAATCTCGCCAAAAAACCGGGGGAATGGAAGGGGGGGGGAAGAAAAAAAAAAAAAGAAATTTAAACAGATAGAAAAAAGAGGGCAAAGGAAAAGCATTCGGCTGCAACTTTCAGTAAATTGAAAACAATGCAAATATACCTTTACATATGCATCAATATTAAAAGTAACACGCTCTGGAGCCAACAGGAGCAGGAGGAGGATAAGAGAATGGCGCAGCAGTGGAGTCCTGCATTCACACCGGGGCCGCGGCCGCCCTCTCCCAAACAGGCTCTTCTCCGCTCCACAGCCCGGCTCCGATCTCTCATTTCGAGGATGTTTGCTTTGTTTTGGGTGATGATGATGTTTAGAAGAAGAGGGAGGCCTGATTTTTTATTCCGTTTAATTACGATCTTCCGCAAATAGAGACGATTGCTCCCGGAATCCGCGGTCTCTTCTCCGAGCAGGAGGATTTGCATATTCTATTTTTTTTTTTTTCAAATTTTTTATGCCCTAATTTCCTTGATGTGTGTAAATGCAGGTGGACGAGTAGTATGCCTTCAGCTGACGTCAATGGACGTGACCTCTCCGCTAAACCTTGAACCTGAAGCGGGGATGGGGGACGCGGGGCGGAGGCGCAGCCGCTGAGATAGTCCGCGCTGTTCCGCGGGCGCGCAGGTTCCCAGCCGCACTCTGCCCTATGAAATAGACTCTGGCAGCAGCAACAGCAGCAGCGCTGCCCGCCCCAAAGCTCACTCCCAAAAGAAAGCCCACCTTCCCGCAGCACCGCCGAAGTCCCTCCTGCCTTTTCTCTCTCTTTTTTTTTTTTTTTTTTTTTTTAATTAGAAATTATTTATCGCTTCTTTTCATCAGGAGGCGGGCGGGAAATGGAAATTTCTAACCAATTTAAAACGATTGTAAGAAAATTTCTCTCCCGCCTCCTGAAAACATTGCATGACAGAGGAGGGTTGAGCCAGTGGAGGCGCAGCATCCATCCGGGCGCCGTTTCGCAGAGAACTGCGGGAACGGGACTCGGAGACAGGGAGGGAGAGAGGGAGGGGAGGTGGGCGGCTGGAGGAGTGGGGTGGCCGCAGTCTCAGTCTCAGCCCTCGCCTGTCTGTTCTGCAAGTCCAAGCCGCTCTCCCGGCTTTGCCGTGATCATCCCTCCACGGGGAGGAAGGGCGGTGTGAGCGGAGAATCGAGGAGCATACGGTGGTAGCAGGTGGTGGGTGAGCGGTGTGTGCTTCTTTTTCCTTTCCACCGCTCCTTCTGGAGATTCTGCGGTGTATGGTGATGTTTGGAGAACATTCAGAACTTCAGCCGGTGAGGCGTCAGGATGAGAGGGGTATTCTCTGTTAAGATCCGAATTTCTCTTTTTCTGCTGACTTTTATTAACTCCTTTGTCAGCCTTCCGTGAGCCGTTCCACAGCCTCTCTGAGGACCTTGTCACAGCCTTCCTAGGGCTGCACCGCCGCAAACTCACTCACCGCTTCTCCATTCAAGGATCTCAACTAAACTTCAATACCCTCTCCAGGAAGCGGAAACGCGAGTGTTTTTCTGACCAGGGGAGCAGTAGCGGCTTGTATTTTTTTTTTTTTCCACCCAGGGGTTCGTGCTAAATTCCTTAGGTTCTCTCGGGGCTGGCGTTTCGGTCCACGCAGAGATCTCTTTGTCCGCCGGGTCGCCCGGGGCTGTGCCGGCAGGGGATGTCCGGCTGCCCAGGACTACGGTGGGGATCTTCTCGCAGAAACACTCCGCGGAAATCCGTGCCCGGAGACAGCGGAGCTCCTCCCCGCTCCCTGGAGCCTCGCACTCCGGGCGGGACACACATCTGACATCATATACATACAAACACACATTTTTTAGATAGATAGATAGATAGATAGATAGATAGATAGATAGATAGATAGATAGATAGATAGATAGATAGATAATAGAGATAGATAGATAGATAGATAATATGAGACATATAATAATAGACATGTCTGTGTTTGCGCGTCTGTAGTGTGTATATATACATATATTTATTAATTTTTGAGCGTTACCCCTCCTTCCGCCCTCCTCTACCCCTCACAGCCCCCTCCCCACACACATACCCACACTCCTACACTGCCCACGCGGGGAGTCGTGTAAAGCAGGCTCACAGTGGGGGGCCAGCACGACACCACCCCCTCGCCGTCACACCCCATACGCCCCCCAGGCGGGGGTTGGGGCAGGAACGAGCCATTCTGCCGCCCCCTCGCCCTGCACCACCTCCTTCTATCCCTCCTCCTTCCCTACCTCCATCCCTTCCCCTCTGCATACCTTCCATTCCAGCGCACACCCAAACTTCTCTTCAGGCGCCCCCTGCACCCTAAAACCCAGCCGGGGCCTTTATTTGTGTTTTCACGCTGTTTCCAAACCCAGAGCGACAGATGAGAGTGGACAGAAGGATCCGACAGCGCTTTAGGACACTCTCTTTCCAGCTACGAGAGGTCACACTACAAGTTCGCATGACACCAGGGATGGAAAAAGGGTATTTTTTGCTAACACCGTGACTGTTTTTCTAATTTTTTCTTTTTCTTTCTTTCTTTTTTCTTTTTTTTTTTTCTTTTTTTCGGCTGTTGACCAGCTACTTGGTTTGGATAAAAGTTGCACAAAATGGCAGTGCCTTCCGAAAACAAGACTCAGATGAAACTCTTCTTCAGAAATTAACTGGAGGAAAACACCTTAGAAAACTCGACCTTTTGTTTCACTTTTTTTTTTTTCCCCCTTAAGTTTCCAAAGGAATACGAGCTTCCCTTCTTCTCTAGGAAGAGGTAGCCATTGCTCTTCTTTACACTAGACATTTCCAATTTGTTCCATCCGTCAAAATGGGACTATGAGAGGTTTTGGTGCAAATTCATTATCTCTGGCAACGCATAACTTATAATAGGAACTGAAAAAGACCGTGGCAATGGATGAACAATAGGGCTTCAGTTCATCAGCGACAAAAGCGTTGGGGAAATTGCTTGAATTTCAGAGCACGTCCTCCTCAGCAGAGAGGGCTGGACTAGACCTTGGCCAACTCCCCCAAAAAACTTGCAGAGCCTCACATACAACAGTTCACTTTCTACTCCAGGGCATAGGAAGCGTTGTGGAAAAAAAGAGAAAAAATATAATGGCAAACCCAAGCAAAATTTCTGTGTTTCTCTCCCATTTTTCTGGATGGAACATTTCTAACTGGTTTAGAGTCGTTGGAGCAAGAAAAACACCGTGGAGCTAAGCAGCACTTTTAAATAGGGATGGCGAGGCGGAAGATATGAATTTCTGGAAAACTGAAAGACCTTTCTCTGCTCCGAGGAGCTTTGGCCTTGGGGATCTTTGTTTGTCACCGTTGGCTCAGCTTTGCCCCTAGATCTGGGGTCACATCTTTCCCTGATAAAGGCGAAGAAATGTAAGTACCGCAGTGTTTATGTATGTGTGTCGGTGTCAATTCCAGGCAGTATTTGGCATGCTGAGCCCCGGGCAGGTAGAGGTTTCCCAGATCCCTGTGAGTCCACGGAGGCCGCCTCTCCCTGGGTAGACCGAGAGGGTCTCCCCAGCGGAGCTCTGGCCACTTCCTCTCGCTCACGGCGAGAGACATTTGATTAATAAGGCAAGGTTTATGACTGGACACGGCAGCTTACATCGGTGAGACGATTTGTGCGTCTGAAGCTAAACCTGTTGGTCGTGGAGCTGTATTTGGTCGCGGGAAATATTAATTATCCAGCAGACCACCAGCAGTTACCGAGCTTTGGCTTCTAAGGGAGCTTTTTTTTGCAATGCCTGTGTGCCCTCGGAAGTGTGGAGGTGTGCAGGCACGGGAACAGACAGTCACAGAGCTGAAATATAGCAGCTAACTCCAATGGCCTTTACATAGTCAAGCTTAAAGAACCCAAAGAACAACATTACTTAAAAAAAAAAAAAAAAAAAAAAAAAAAAAAAAAAAAAAAAAAAAAAAAAAAAAAAAAAAAAAAAAAAAAAAAAAAAAAAAAAAAAAAAAAAAAAAAAAAAAAAAAAAAAAAAAAAAGGGAAAAAAAAAAGAGGGAGAAAGATAGAAGTCGGAGGCATATCTTGCAGCTGGTCGAGGTGTAAGGGATTGCTCGCAGCAGTTTGTTCATCCTGCGCCTCCCACGTAGTAAATCACTCGAAACAAGCAACCGTCACATCCCGAGTTCTCCAAATCCACCCCAGCCAAAAAGGCTCGGGTCAGGAGCATACCTGGCAGAAGGGTGTCAGGGACAGGGCAGTTCTGCCAGAGTTCGGGGAGGGCTAATGAAGTGCAGCCCGACCACTCACCATGGCCCAGGAGTGTCCCTTTGCATCTCTGTATCCACCAAAAAAGTGGTGGAAATCCTTCAGAAACCCCGGTCCACATCGGTCCGTGGGATGGGTGAAACTGCTTCATTGTAATATCCAAGAACACTGTTGTTCCCTGGGAAATAAGATTTTTTTTTTTTTTCCGGTTGAGGCTGCTGTAATGGATATAATGCAATGAAAGTGAGCAGCTTATGTTGTATTTATTTACCCCAGCGGCCCTTGATAAGCTTTCGGGGCTGTAAATAGAGACCATGCCTTCCTGGTAATTCAGGTTTCAGGACAGCATTCATGT